GCCGTGAAGCTCAGCGAGTAACACTATCTTGCTCTTTTCTGCCTTCCCCTTGGCCTGTTTGTACCCCATTAACACACCCTGCGCTCCACTGACTCAGGGGCCTGCTGGACCCATCGTTGCATCAACTGGTGGGCAAGTCCACTGCCCTTTCAGAGTAAATGCCAAGCAGCTGACCATTCATGAGAAGGTGCAGACAGGTACGGTTTGTCTGTCTTTACCTTTCGGTACTGAAACAAATCTTCAGTGCAGATCATTTTCCACTGACCCTCTGTAATGGGTTTGCTTCTCAGGATGCGCCAGCAATACACTGTTTTTTCAGAGGTGCAGTGACTCCTTTAACAGTTAAGTGAGGAGAGGAAGGCACCTTGCTTGGATATTTTGAATAGCTCTTAGAAATATTTTCTCCTTTTCATCATTCATGCAGGGAGCCAAGCTGCCGGTTGCTGGTACCCTGCCAGGACAAAGCCCTTAAATAAGCATGGAAAAAAAATCAACTAAAATGTTCAGAAAGCAAACAGAGCAGGATGGAGAAAACAATATGTTTAAAAAAAACCCCAAAAACAAACAAAACAACCCCAAAAACCCAAAACCCAACCTGTTGTAATAATTCTCTACGTTACAGCAAAATAGCTGCTAGTATTTAATCCACAGCGTTATAAGGCCAAGTAGAAGGAGCAGGAGAGGTGTAAAAAAGCCAAGTGACAAGGTGCTAGAAAGCCCTGTGTCTCGGGCAAGGTCTCTCTTTGCTAATCGGGGGGGGGAGACCTCCTCTGCTCTACACATGAGACTTGGCAGGCTTGCTCCTGCTGATAACATCAAAAGAGCGCGCAAGAACTATGAGCCAAGAGGAAGGGATATTTTCTCGATTGTTAAGTCTCTTTCCATGGCTGTGGGCTGTGAAGGAGCAGAGAAGCAACCCCCCTTCTAACAAACTACTTCACCCACCACTCTGAGCTTTCCTGATGAAGTTTAGTATTGCTTCAAGCAATTACTAACCTAGCTGGGAACAAACTTTCTTTTGCTAAACCTGGAACAAGAAGCCCTGATACAAGCAGGGCTGGCTGCCAATGCACGCTTGTAAAGGAACAGAAGCACAGCAGCGTGCACATCCCTTAGATCTGTTTGTGGTCCAGGGTTTCCGTGTGAGCAAGACTGGGCAGGTCACCATAAAGAGCTGAAATTTTGCAGTGTTAGCGTTCCCAGTAGCCCCAGAGGAGGGACAAGGCTGTGCTCGGCACCGACAGAGGGCAGGCACCAGCCAGGTGCAGGAAAATCATCGCTCTGGAAGTGCCTTCCGACTCTCAGACTTGTGTGCTGCCATTCACTGCCTGGGCTCTGGCCTTTCTTTACATAGACTGTTCCAAAGGGATTGCAATTAGGTCCAGTATGTAATGTGTACACCTTGAACTACATCTACCCTGTGCTAAATATCATTCCCCAAGAAATCAGAGGCACAGACAAAACAGAAAAGCATTGCGGACAGCATTCCTGACAGGCTCTAGCCTGGGCTTGATTTGGATGCTAGCAGACCTAAATGGGTGTTGTCTTCTTGAAACTCATCAATGAATCTCATCGCTGCCTGTACCCTACCTGACAACTCTGACAACTCCCTCATGTCTTTTAAGTCCATGCCTTCTTCTGACTGCACAAAGCATCCAAGACAGGCAGCTGCTGTCTCTGCTGGGATACGGCAGGTGTCTCCTACCACTTGTTCCCCATGGCTGCTTTGTTGGTTGGTGAGGCAAGGTTTCTGATGGAGCAAGAATGCCAAAGCCGTGGCGTTTCAAAATTAATGCTGTCTAAAGAAGCTCAAGAAAAAAGCCGGTAGGAAAAGAAATGCTTGACTAGAGAAGCAGAAAGGTGGCTTACTGGCAGAGATATAAAAAAACCCTTAAAAATCGGGAGGTGTGTTTCCTCCATCTGCAACATTTTGGGATGACTTGCTGGAAACTGATCTAGAAAAGACAAGTATCATCAGCACAGGAAATTGCGCGGCTTTACATATGCTCTCTGAAAACTCTTCCAAGCACGGTGCTGCAGGTGGCACAGACGAGCTACAGATGGGGTAGCAGGGACGTGGGCGCAGGTTCTGCTGCTGTGGAGCAGCCTCCAGCCGAGGAGAGGGAGCATCCGTGGCAGGGAGAAGGTAAAGCCGAAGTGCTCCACCAGCAGCTTCGCGGTTTTGAAATGTGATGCCATGAAAGGTGAATTCTGTCCTTCATCCCTATGAAATTGTCCCCTCTTTTTCTTATGGGCTTTGATGTCCAGTGAGATGGTTATTGACAGTAACCATGAAGGAACACCACGTTCAAGCAAATTACTTCTCTAATTGCGCTGTAGTTAGAAAGAGATCGTAGGACCGGTTATACTTTCAGTTTATACTGAAAAAGGGTGCACCAATGCATCAGAGCACCAGGGTTAGAGCCCTTTTCTGCTTGCGTGTATAAAAACATAGAAAAACATAGCTCTTACTAATTTGCCCCACTTTACCTGAGATATGGATACTGGCCTTGATGGGGACGTATACAAATATATATCTTAGCCTACGCTTACAAACAGGTTCTGGGAGATCAGGATCAGTGGAGGTCCTTGAGTTACGACCCTAATTTTGATTAAATCAGCGGCTGGCCGCCCCCCACGATGCTGAGCCTGAGCTTAACAGTAAAGGCGAGTGGCCCGGCAGAAAAAAACCAGTCCCTGGGGTGGCGGAGGACGGCGGGGCCGCCCCGCCGG